CTCCGTGGTGTCAAGGAAGTTAAAATCGTCGACGGAAGGGTGATGTTCGTAAGGAAAAATATTTTCATCAAAAGTAATGTGACGCGAGACGATTATTTTGTTAGTTTGAAGATCTAGGCAGCGGTAACCGCATTGATGGGTGGGATAGCCAAGAAAAATGCACCGTGCCGAGCGTGGGGCAAGTTTATGTGGGGCGGTGGCGGAGGTGTTTGGGTAGCAAAGACAGCCGAAAACTCGAAGATGAGTGTAGGTAGGTGGAGTGCGAAAGAGAATGGTGTGGGGAATTTGGTTATTGAAGGTGGTGGTCGGGAGGAGATTAAATAGGTGAGCGGTCATATGGAGTGCCTTAACCCAAAATTCTGGGGGAAGGTGGGCTTGAAAAAGAAGGGTGCGGACAGTATAATTTGTGGTACGGATGGTCCGCTCGGCACGGCCATTTTGTTGGCTCGTGTGTGGACAGGAGAAACGAAAAAGAATGCCTAAGGAGTTAAAAACAGAACGAAGGGGGGAGTTGCGATATTCGGTGCCATTGTCACATTGAACATTTTTAATGGTTGTGTTAAAATGATTTTTGACATAGTTAATAAAAGTGGTTAGGTGAGTAAAAACATCAGATTTTTGTTTTAAGGGAAATACCCAGAGATAATGTGAAAAATCATCTAATAATAACATGTAGTGTTTGGAACCAGTAATACTCGGAACAGTGGATTGCCATAAATCAGTATGTAATAATTCAAAAGGAAAGGAAGAAATACGACAAGAAGAAGAAAATGGGAGACGAACATGTTTTCCCAACTAACAAGCATGACATAAATTATTATTTGGAAAAAATTTAAAGAGATTGGAGACGTTGGAGACACCACAAAGAACCGCCGGGCTGGGATGTTCAAGACGTGTGGATGTCAACGGACGCACTGTGGACCTGAGCTGGGGGCGCAGGGAGCAAGGGGTAGAGTGGGCCAGGGTTATTGGACCGATGCATCACGGTTCCCGTCCGAAGATCCTTCACAGAAAAACCATGTGCATCAAATTCAATAGAGCAGTTATTATCACGCGTAAACTGGCGAACAGAAATAAGGTTATGGATGATATGCGGGGAGATAAGGACATTATTAAGGGAGAGGGGAGGAGTGGTGGGGAGGGTGTGGCTACCCACCGCCGTAGTGCTTACCCTAGAACCATTGCCAACAATAATATGTAATGGAGAATTTAAGGATTGAGAAGAGACATGAAAAATAGTACCTGGATCGGAGGCGCGATGTGATGTGTGGCTCTCGTGTCGAAATACCATGTGGGTTCCCGTAGGGTCATGGTATCAAATTGGTGTGCTAGGGCTGTGGGTGTGGGATTGGGAGCCTGCGGGTGGGGGGTGGGGTTTGCGGGTAGAGTGGTGGGTGGGTTAGGGCTGTCGGGTAAGTGGGTAGGGTTGGGGTTGGGTAGGCTATTTGGCTGTAGGGTGGGGTGAGGGGTTAGGGGTAGGGTTGTACGTGTAGTAGGCATGGGCAGGTGGGTGGGTAGGGTTGGGTAGGCGCGGGCCGAGAAGACCCGAGCCGGGGTTTGGTTGTGGTGAGTTCCAAGGTACGTAGCCATCATGCGGGTGTCGTTGCGAGCCAGAGTTTCTTCCTCGTCCACGTCCCCGGCCGCCTCCACCACGACTAGAGCTGCGCCCCTGCTGTCCACGGCCGCCACTGCCGCTGCCAAGCCCTCCACTACCACGCCCGAAGCTGCCACCGCTGGTGCCGTAGGGTGGGCCGCCGGTTCGGCCGGCCAGGAGGACCGTCCCGGCGTCGTCCGCAATGCTCTGCCGTTGCCGATCTAGGAGCAGGAGGGCGGATCGGGTCTGAAGAATGTTGGGCAGCGGTTGTTGGAATTGTAGGAACGATGTCTGAGCCTGGAGATCTTCGGGTAGCCCCAAAAGCATTTGAAGCACGAGTTGAGACTCAGAGACCGGGGCGTCGATGTCATCCAACCAATCGGCAATGTTCCGCAGGGTTTGACAGTACGTAGCCCTGGTCATCGTACCCTTGACAGTGGTTCGGAACTGGTGCTCGAGTTGCATCACCCGAGCATGCTTGTTGTCATGAAAAAGTGCATGAATAACCCGCCATAATTCAGCTGCAGTGGAGGTGGTGGAAATGACTAGATCTAAGACTTCGTCAGAGATAGTGGAGAGAATCCACCCTTGGAGCAGGGCGTCAAGCTGGTACCATTCATCATCATCGGAAGAGGAGGGAGACGAAGAACCCGAGAGAAAACCGGCGCACCAGGAGGAGAAAAAGCCGGCTCCACTTTTTGTAATTGGGCTGAGAGAAGCTCAGCTGGATCGGGACATAAAGCTTGACGTTGGAGATTGTGGTGAAAGCCAGATGAGGGGGATTGGAGGAGGAGGAGGAGGTTGAATTGTATGTATTTTTGTCGGAGGAAGCCATGTCGAGGGAGGAAGGGGGGAATCACCGACGTGGGGGTTTTGTGGTCGCCGAGGGTAGTCCGCCGAGAAAGAAGATGGCGGCGGCTGTGCGGCTGGAGGAGGAGACCACGCCGAGAGAGAGGGAGGGAGAGAAGTAGGGTTAGGGTTTTGAAAATTATGGCTCCGATACCATGAAGAATTGTGACTTTCCTTAAACAATAATGTGGGAGTACATGTGTTTATATACACAAGCTATTCCTAATCCTAATTATGGTAGGATTCTACAATAGGAAACAATATGTGTACAATAAATATAGAATATATATTTAACATAAATATAAAATATATTTAACAATCAAAACATCATTTTTATTTTATCACATAAAATTTTATTTGTTAAAATATCATTTTTATTTTTAACAATTATTTTTATATTGATCATAATTGATTGGTATAAAAAATAGGATTTTATAGCTTCAAAAATAGCATTTTTGGACTTAAAAATGATCGTAACGGTCGACCGTTGGGTTTGAACGGTCGTCCGTTCCGTTGGAAAATGTAGGAAGATGAAGGGTTACTATTCATCATATTCAACCTCCAACCGATTTTTCTCAAACTCCATTTTTGGTCACCAAACTTCAATTAAACTATATAGAAATGTTCTCCAAGGTTTGTAGATCATTTTAGAGGCATCAATTTAAAGTTTTAACAACAAATTCAAGGTTTGTGATTCTTGGTTCTTCAAATATGTCAAACACAAAACTCAACCAAACAACCATTTATGAACGTAGAAACGATCTATACAAACATTCTAGTCACTAGATATATCTACGGACTCACTTTGAAGTGAAACGATGATTCCGACGGAAAAACGGCGAAACTTCCTGTGAACACCACGGCTTGCTCTGGCGACGGGGAGCTCTCTGGACAACACTACTTTACTCTCTATGCTCATAGCTTTCTAATGGAGGAAGAATGGTGAAGAATGGTAAGGATTTGGGAAGTTTATATAATGGAAGGGAGAAGACCAAGACAATGGAGTTTCGTCATTCTCGATCGTGGGAGGGCGGCTCTGTTATTCTCACGACTCTTCCCTGATTGGGACTAATTTGGTCTCAATCGAGGTACACTTTTTGGTCCAACTTTCTCCGAATTGAATTCCGTTTGCACTGTTGCGATCGAGCAGTTAAACTCTATTCAACGATATACTTTTTATATTTATTTGAAATACTTTTTCTGACAGCATATTTTTGGGTGTTGACTTTGACAGAGTCAAAATTGAATTAATTAATATGTAATTAAAATTAGTCTCATATTCAATCAATATTATTAAATGTAAATATTTATTTCAATAAATCATTTTACAAAAAGTTCACATCTTTGACTTTTTCTCATTTTTATACAAATTACATATTTAAAATGTCATAATTGAACCTCTGTACATTAGATTTATTCATAAAATATACTGTTGGATTCGTCTCTTCAAGACCAATTCATAAAAGTCAATCTTAACAAAAAATAATTGACTCCAAAAATTCCTTCATTTTTGGTCAAACATAGAAATAATACTTTGTTGAGTCAAAATATTGTTTCTAAAAATATTTTTATAATAGAATAACTTTTAGACCATGTTTTGGGGCATTACATTTCTCTCCCCCTTAAAATAATTTCGTCCTCGAAATTACTTGAGTCATTGATTGAAGAGGTTCGGATATTGTGCTCTAATTGACTCTTCGATTTCCCATGGTGCTTCTTCAGTCGAGTGATTCCTCCATAGTACTTTGACTAGAGGTACAGATTTGTTTCTCAATTGTTTGACCTCTCGTGCCAAAATTTGTACAAGTTGCTCCTCATAAGTCAATTGTTCGTCAAGAGTAACGATTCCCTCAGTCAAGATATGCGATGGATCAGAACGGTATCTTTTCAACATTGATACATGAAATACGTCGTGAATTTTATTCAGTTCGGGCGGAAGTTCTAGCCGATAGGCTACTGGACCTACACGTTTAGTGATTCGGTATGGTCCAATATACCTTGGACTTAGTTTTCCCTTCCTGCCGAATCGCAACACTTTCTTCCAAGGTGATACTTTCAGAAATACCTTGTCATCCACGCTGTATTCAATCTCACGACGTTTCAAATCGGCATAAGATTTCTGTCGGTCAGCAGCCACTTGTAGTCTATCTCTGATTAGACGAACCTTTTCTTCAGTTTCACGGACGAGATCAGGTCCTTCAAGCTTTTGCTCGCTTAATTCTGTCCAGCATACTGGGGTTCTACAACGTCTTCCATACAAGGCTTCGTATAGGGCCATCTGGATACTTGCTTGATAACTGTTGTTATAAGCGAACTCCATTAGCGGTAAGTATTGTTCCCAATTGCACCCAAAATCAATTACACATGCTCTCATCATATCTTCCAGAATTTGAATTGTTCTTTCAGATTGTCCATCAGTTTGAGGATGAAATGATGTACTAAAGTTGAGTTTAGTACCTAAGCCTTTCTCCAGACTCTTCTAGAACTGCGACGTGAATCGAGGGTCACGATTAGAAATGATAGATAGAGGCACGCCATGCAATCTTACAATTTCTCGAATATATAATTCTTCTAACTTTTTCAATGATGTATCACGTCGAATTGGAATGAAGTGAGATGATTTGGTAAATCGGTCAACGATAACCCAAACAGCGTCGTTCTTCTTAACTGACAATCGAAGTCCGATTACAAAGTCCATCGTAATTCGTTCCCACTTCCATTCAGGAATGGTAGGTGGATGCAACAATCCACTTGGCACTTGGTGTTACGCTTTGACTTGTTGACACGTTAGACATCGTGTTGTAAATTCTTTGATTTCCCGCTTCATCGTGGGCCACCAATACGTTTTCTTCAGATCTTGGAACATTTTATTACTGCCGGGATGCATGGTATACGTGGTTTCGTGGGATTCACGCATTAAATGTTCTCTCACTTCTCCACTAGGAACTACCAAACGGTTTCGGTAAAATAAAATTCTGTCATTTACAGTGAAGTCTTGTCTCTCCCCCCTTAGAGACAAGTTCACAAGTCTTCAAACAGTAATCATCACCTTTTTGTGCAGCGTGAATTTCGTTTTCTAGAGTTGGTTGGATTCGTAGTTCGGCTATCATCTTCCAACTTAACGCATCAGCAACTATGTTAGCCTTTCCAGCGTGATAGTAGATGTAACAATCATAGTCTTTGATCAATTCCAACCATCTTCTCTGTCTCAGGTTCAATTCTTTTTGAGTTAGCAGATATTTCAGACTTTTGTGGTCGGTGTGAATATATGTCGTCTCTCCAAAGAGATAATGACTCCATATCTTCAGAGCAAATAGGACTGCTGCTAACTCAAGGTCGTGAAGAGGATAGTTACATTCGTGAGGCTTCAGCTGTCTTGATGCATATGCCACAACTTTTCCGTCTTGCATAAGTACACATCCCAAGCCGTTACGAGATGCGTCACTAAAGATCGTGTAGTCTACACCTGGTACTGGTTGTGTCAGTATAGGTGCTTCTGTCAGACATTTCTTTAGTTTCTCAAAGCTTTGCTGACATGCGTTGGTCCATATGAATTTCACATCTTTTCTCAGAAGTTTGTTAAGTGGAGTTGCGATCGAGGAAAAGCCTTCAACGAATCGTCGATAGTATCCAGCTAATCCTAGAAAACTTCTCACTTCACGAACATTCGTCGGGACTTTCCATTCAGTGATGGCAGATATTTTGCTGGGGTCCACTTTAACACCTTCTTTCGAGATCACATGACCAAGGAATGTGACTTCATTAAGCCAAAATTCACACTTGGATAACTTTGCATAAAGTTTGTGTTCTCGTAGTACACTGAGTACTATTTCCAGGTGCTTTGCATGGTCTTCTCGATTCTTTGAATATACAAGAATGCCGTCGATGAACACAACTACAAATTGATCAAGATAGGGTCGGAATACACTATTCATGAGATCCATGAATACTGCAGGAGCATTGGTCAAACCAAAGGGCATTATCGTGAACTCATAATGACCATAACGAGTACGGAACGCAGTCTTTGGGATGTCCTCTTTCTTTACAGGGATTTGATGGTATCCTGACCGTAAGTCAATCTTAGAATACAGTAGATCTTCTAAGCTGATCAAATAAGTCATCGATACGAGGTAAAGGATATCGATTTTTGATTGTGACTTTGTTTAATTGACGGTAATCGATGCAGAGTCTCATCGAACCGCCTTTCTTTTTGACAAACAGAACGGGTGCTCCCCAAGGGGATACACTCGGACGTATGAATCCTTTATCGAGCAGTTCTTGTACTTAGGGGTGTGCATTATTCGGTCCGGACCTGGACCGACCCGAAACCCGGCCAAAACCGGACCAGACTGGTCTTTATTCAGTCCGGTCTCCGGTCCTCATTTTTTCCTTATTCGGGTTCTGGTCCGGTCCACCGGGTTTCGGTCCGGACCGGTAGACTGGTTAGATTTTATTTTTTTTAAATATTTTTTTCTATATAAGTTTATAACATTGTACTCCCTCTGTTTGCAAAAAGACTTCCCATTTTGATTTGGGGCAAAAATAAGAAAGTGTTAAATTATTGTTGATTTCCAATTTTGCCCCTGATGTGATGG